CGCTTGCCTTTAAAACATTTTAAAAAATGTAAAACATTTAAAAAATAAAATATCTTACAAATTTTTTCCATCTGTAGCTGATATATAGTATTTATTATTTTTTCATCTGTAGCTGATATAGAGCATAATTTTTTTACTTTCATTTGTGCTGTATAGTCGAAAATCTGATTCACTAGTTATTGCACATTGTTTTGAATTTTAGAGTTAAAAAAATTCTTAATATCCAAAGCTTTTGAAGAAATATTTGAATTACGTTAGCAATCTTGTAAGGATCTTAAGTTTTACTAACGTTTATTTTATTTTAAAACTTTACTATCATCTCTTATTTTCCTCTTCCGGTCAGAATAAACGCGTGAATATGTTTATGCAAATTGTACTTGCTAACGCTTAAGTTTTTGAGTTGTGGCTTTTTGCCAAGAGCAGAGTTTAGATGGAGAGAAAGTGAGTCGCCTTGCCACTGCATTCCACGTGAGCTTTCAAGCAGTTGCTGTCCGCCTTTAAGGCCAGAAGTTTAGTCCTTTCCATATTTAAAACGTATTGTAGTTTTCCGCAGTTTGTGCTCTACATACGTAATCAACTAAAAGGCCAGTCTTAGCGTTAGTCATCTGTATCAAGTACACCTCTTATTTAAATTTAGTTAGTTGATAATTTTTATATTTTTACGTTCAGACCACAAGTGGTTGGCCTTTGTATCCCGAAGTGCGGAAGCACCTGTAATATCGTGGAAAATAAAGGGTAATTAAAACCCTTCTCATCTTGTCGTCTCTTCGACACTCCACAGGACATAATTTATACTCAAAAATCACTGTCTAATTAGAACACGCCATATTCGTCAAGCAGATTAGAAGAAATATACTTCCTAATAATCTTTTATTATCCGTACACCTTGGAAAATCTTGTCACTGTGCTAAATGCCAAGTTTTTAATTTATCTACCCCATGGACTTGCGCTTAGCCAGTTCTATCTACCCCATGGCCTTACCCTTAGCCAGTTCTAAGCAAAGATAGAGAACAACGGCATATTACGTTTATAAATATATCACCCATTTTTACTGTCCGCCTTTACTGTAACCATTTTTACCCATACAACATCTCCAATAGCTTTATGTAAGCTATCGAGTACCATGTCATTTACGCACTAAATTTATTCAAAAAGCTACAAATGTAACAGTACGACAAATGCGGTAACAAACAACTTATTCAAAAAGTTAGAAATGTAAAAGTATGGCAAATCCGTTCAAAACTAGATGACACCACTTTGACACCTCCAACGCTTTCCCTCTCTCCTATTTCTTCCCTTTTAATGAGGCCCACCAGCGGCCGAGCGGTAAAGTGGCTGAACACTGGTAGTTCGGTCCGAGGTTCGAATCCCGCGAACGGGCTGGCTGCATGGGTGTTTTCGTGGTTTTCCCCATGTGTAACGTGTATACGAGCCAATTTCCCTTAGAAAGTCCTCCACGAAGGCATCCCTTCCCCTTAGGCAGATAGCCCTAGTGTGCTTTGCCGTTATTAAATACACCACAACCACACCATCCCTTTTAATGAGGACAGAAATTAATGCCAGCAAGCTATGAAAAGCGCCTTTACAGACTGCAAAATAAACGACAAAGTAGACAGCTCTTATGCTATTTTAAGTGATATGAATATGTAATAACTTCAGCAAAATATTGGAAATTACAGGATAAACACTCAGATAATGAAACGGCAATTATGGACTTTCTGAAATAAACGAACATTCTTCTCTTTCAATTCAGCATACTCTCTTCTCTTACATTCTTACTTATGATGAAGTTTTATTTTGTCCCTCCCTGAAAACACGCTCCCTGAAGACACTCGTGCACAGTGTGCGCACGAGCAAAATAAAAACGCATCTCATCTCGCAAAGGGGTCCGCGCATTCACTAGACGAATACATAATTTTGTCCAATAAAATTATATTGCATCAATTATATTGTTACGTTAATGTCGAAAATTCTCTGTTTTCTCAAAGTTTTGTGAGATATGAGGAAATAATAATTTCTAGAGATTGGCTACAATGTTAAAGTAGTATGATTTCATTAATCACCATATGTTTCACAGAAAGCCTTAGAGTCTCATAGAAAGAAAAGTCAGACGAAATTCTTTATAGAAAACTTAGCTTAATATAAATTTATAGAAAGTTCCAGGAAATATTTAATTTCGATTAAAAGTATGTAGTGGCAGCAAACTTCTTTTACTACATTTTAAACGAATTTTACATGCAAAGCAAATATATAGAGACATGTGACGCGTCAGACGGTGTTAATGAAGTATTTCCAAAAATGTATAGCGTTATGTGGCATTAAGATAGGTTATCATATGCTTATTATCTACTTTCTTGGCAAATATTGCAATTTCAGCATAAATGTAATATCCTGCACTGGCGACTGAAAACACACAAGTCATCAAGAATCAGTGACCTTGACGATTCCCGGTGACCACGGGATTGATTGTCATACTTACCCTTTAGTTTAATTTTAAGAAATTATCTACATCTACTTCAATACCCCATATTAGGGATCTATGGGATAACTTCGAGTAATCGTCAATCTATAGGTCACCGATGAGTAATAATTTTAATGAGTACTAGAATGTTTGTTTCAATGTAATTTAATTTTAAAAGATACCTAAATGTATTGCATCATCCTACAGTTGATACCTATGAAACAATATATCAATTTGTAAGTTGTAAAGTTATTAGTTTTTTTTAAGCAGGGGAGGTGAAAAATGTGCAGGGCCCTCGCCAGGGCTCGTAACCTGGACCTTTCGAATACGCGTCGAGTTGGCTTTCAATTACACCACGAATGCACGCGGAAAAGAGGGGGAAAACACCTTTTAAGGTCACCAGTACCCAAATGCCTTGAGAGCACAAAGTGGTTTAATTTAATTTAATTTTAGTAATTTATCTAAATGTACTGCATTTTTCCAGATGATGATCTAGGTATTGTCCGGCAGTGATTGCCAGTTAATAAGTAATCTAATGCCAATGCCTTGATGATCACTTTCGGTTTAGCTTTATTTTATTAATCTATGTAAATGATATAATTTAAAATGCATATAATTTATAACGTACCCGTCAGATATTTTTATAAACTGTACTGCATTAATTGAATAAGCATGTGTATAGCGGATCGAGTATGGAATCATTTGAATTTTGCATCTAATTCAATGAATATATTACTTATTCGAAATGCTAGAAGGTGGCCATACTCAACGAAATGGAAATAATCTTAGCGTCAACGACTTCAAAGAACTCTGAATCGATTATAGACATCTGGCTTTAATGTATACTGAATGAATGCTTTTAATGAAATCTTTTCAAAATTTTTGGCGCATCACGTCATATAAATCATGTTAGTCTAAGGTGGCTAAATATAGCATCACTATATCATTTGCTATTAAAGTATACATTTTCAGTTGCTGTTTCAAAGCAACATTATGCAAAATATTATCTTGAGTGAATCGTTAACTTGCAAAATGTTGCCAGTTCGAAGACTTTATAAAAAATTATTTAAATTAATTACTTTTCAGTTTGAATATACGAAATTATTTGCTTGTACGAGGTGAGCTGAATTTTGAAATATATAGTTTTAATAACTACACACACACACACACATATATATATACACATATATATATATATTAAAATTGCTCGAAAATTTCTTTAGACCGCATTATAGGTTAGATTCCTGAATATGTTGTTTAACCCAAATCATTCATGAAAACGTTCGTTCTATGTAAACTCTCTCTCCGCCAATTAAAATTAGATCACATATAAAAATGCCGCTTTAAATTTACTTCAGAAATATTTTTAACGTAATTCCATTTTTTTACTTCACATAATATGTTACCAAGCCATTATCGCTTGGACCACGGCATTGGAGCGTCTAAAGTGGTAAGATCGTTATACACTATTAGCCTCGGGCTTCAAATCTTGGCGAACGGGCTAGCTGCATGGGAGTTTTTTTGATTTTTCTCTCTGCATAAAATTAATACAAACCAATTTATCTTTGAAAGTCCCTTAAGAAAAATCTATCCTAGGCAGTAGCCCTAGTACGATTTGCGGTAATTAAATAATTTATAATCAACTTGGATCATTCTCGCACCCCGAAGAATTGCTAATTTTCGCAACTTTCAACATGAAACAAGCAGAATTATATCCGATTCGCATGGAGCTATATTTCATTTAAAACGTATAAGCATTCTTTTCGCTTTCTGCCAATTAATTTCTTATATGTGCAAAAGCAGTATACTTTTTACTAATCATTTAATAATATTCGATGGTAATAAATGCTTTTAAAATTTATTTCATTAGTTAAAAATTTTTCTAAATGTATATTGCTGCTTTTAATAATTCTAATAATTATGTTTAATAATTAATAATTGTAAATGTTCATCACAAATTAGTTTTTTTAATTAACAAATCTAAAACTTAAAAAACAAACAACAAAAATGACGAACTTACACTTTAAAGTTTTTAGACTGCAGTCTAAAATGATAGAGAATATATCACCGTCAAATAAATAAAACCACCTTCTTTTACCAGCTGATAAAATATAAATCGTTATTGTTATCTAAAATTATGACTTAACATAAAAATATAATAATAATAATAATAAACTCGTTTCAAAAGCTTTTGTTTACTTTTGCAATTCTTTTTGGACCATGAATATAGCAAATTAGGACATTAAAAGTACTCTTGAAAATCACGACCATCGTCTGAATAAAGGTCAAGAACAGAAGAAAAATTTTTTAAGTTTATAATATTACTACAAAATTTTATCGTTTCTGTTAAATTTTATGTTCGATGTGGACAATAGTATACAGGAGGGGGGGGGGAATTGAAGTTTTACCTTTGTTGAATTGGAAGATACTGGATGCATATTTGTTAAATTCTTTCAATTTGTAACCCGTAATATCATATAAAAATTATAATGTATGGTGAACATATATTAACACAATGAAAACATAAAAAGAAGCTTACCATGATTTTGGCATACAAGCTCCTCAGCAATTACTTTTATATTTTTCAATGAAGTACTGTGTTTTTCCAACATCCCATCATAGTGCATCAGTACAAAGCAAGATATATTTCAGAAAATGTAGCAGGAAATCATAGTAACATAGCAAAAGCGATTCCCAACGCTCAACACATGAAAAGTTACGCGGCTCCGGACAACAATGAGTTTTGACCTGAAGAAGATACTGTGCGACACATCCTGAGGAAGAAAGATGCGGAATTAATAACGATCTCTTTCCTTTCTGTTTTTCGTTGCGGCATTATTCTTTGTAGTGTAGTTTTTGTCCTCTTTTCGCAAAGTGGAAGGGGGGTGCAAAGTGCAGCCGTACAGGTTTGGTGAGAATCTTCGCTCGCTCGGAAGCGAAAGTTTGTAGCGAACAGCATTCGAACGTGTTCATAGATAAATATTAGAGATATCCGCAAAAAAAAGAAAGAAGGGGAGGGGGGAAATCTGAAAGCCTTCAGATTTTATATTACACTCAAAAGGGCGTTTTTTTAACGTTTTGTGTGTTATCTTTATTTATTAAATTCCTGTTCTTCGCACTTAAACCATAAAATCCAATTCAACAACAACATCACAAAGTAGCTTAAAAAGAGCATATCTTTAAGAATTTCCCATACACAGTCTTGCGTACTGGAGATAATTCCACCCTCGGATTATGGCACTGTAGTATAAAATAACACTTGTTTGATGCAATGTAAATTTGTTGTTAAGAAATTAACGAAAAATGAAATTTTAAGTTGCTATCGTGATTCAGATTGAACATAGTTCATTTATGACAATGGAAATAAATTAAAGATCTTATGAATGTCGATCGGCAACAACATGCATTAATCGCAGACAGGAGTTAATGGGTAAGAAAATAATAATAAACACTTAAAATGCCAGAGTCTACTATTTGGTGTCTTTGTTCCCCGCTCCTGGAGAAGCTTTCTTATTTTTCATGGAGAGGTTACGTTATCGAATGATTTGTTACAAAGGTAATTATTTTATGGCATCAAAGAGATTATTTGTAAATTACAGTAGTACTGCAAATCTTTATCAAAATTGTATTTAGACGAATTCGAGATTATACTAATTAATCGCATTATGAATTACTTATTATTAAAAATTAAGCGATTTTATAGCGTCAACGCATTGTGTTAAAAATGTCTTATAATTTAAGTCAATGCTGGATGCGTTCAATTGGATATGATATACATTAAAAGCTATAATGCAGTTAGATACGAGTATGTTATTGAAATATCACAATTAAATTTTTAATTGCATTTACTGCCTTTAAATCGCTCAGTTTATTGAGTTGCTGTGATCTAACAGGTGAATAAAAGATATTACCTCTTACTTACAAAAAAACTAGGAAAAATTAAGATCTCTTTAACGCCCAAAATGTATTGCGCATAACTTTCTTCGTTTTTCGAAGTAACACAGCAGTTGTCGGTTAAAATAGGCTACTTGAATATAACAAATTACTCGAGGGTAGAGTTTGGAACGAGCTTAGGCTCGAGCTTGATACTCGATAATTTTTGGTGCTCGATACTCGAACCAAAGCCCGACGGGCTTTCGAGCTCTGCACATTCAAAATGTTTTTCGTTCTGCATTTTATTTTTAATTTATTTGTCAACGTATTTCTTAAGAATCCTAGAGCACATTTTATTGGTGTCATAAAAGTGTTCCTTTTTAAGTACATAAAAACTAAAACTTTTGTAACTGTATTATGGATAAATAAAGTAAAACAATAAAATGATTATAAATATATACAGTAAAATAATGCTTTTACTTTCACCAGTACTTTTACCTGAACAGTGGTGAAACTTGTTTTGATAAAGAGATGAATTTGTTGCCGTTTATAGTACATACAGTACAGTACATAGGAAATGCAAACATTTTTTAATTTTTACCAATAGAAACAATATACTTTTAATTTTAAGTAGTAACGTGTATGTAATATTAAATAATGATTTTCTTAGTATCAGTAAAAAAACAAAATTACAAATTGTTGAACATTGAAAATGGCGTGTTTCGCGAAACAAACATTTATTGCAGAGTAATATGCAAAGAAATACACGCAGAGACACAAACAGAGATACAAGCAGATCGTGTTTAACAAATCATAAACAAGTAGAATGGGATTAAGTTTCGGAATACTTCGGACCTGACTGAAGCTAATGCATCGTACGTGACAGAAAGCTATACTTCCTTTTAACCAATAAGAATGCGATTACTAATATCTCAACACAAATTTAGTCGAAATTTTAGCAATAGTTTGGTAAAAATTGTTAATATTATTGGAGTTACAGCCATGAATACACGCATATTCTAGAATACTATTTTCTATAATTTTTAGAATAGTAATCATGCCGAAAAACAAAAGATCAACCGTTTAGAGTCATTTCGCCAAGAAAACCAAAATTATGCATGCTGCAATGAATGCAATAAAAACCTTTGCATTTTAAATGGAAATACGTCAACAATGCGTCATCATCTAAGCAGCGTTCGTAACATTGCCGTTGACAGAGCAGAGGCAGAAAAGACTGCTTAAAAACAAAAATTTTCGATAATTTCGTAATCAAAACGTCAATTGAAGAGATTGCTGCAAAAATGGCTGCGGTAGATGGTTTATCAATTCATCAAATCACTCAGTCAGAGTTTATTCGACAATCATTGGCCTTAAGAGGTATCAAGCTTCCAGCCAACAAGAAATCTGTTATGGGTCTTATTCGTAACTATATGGAAACTGTGAAACAAAAAATCAAAAATGATATTAAAATTGTATTACTGAATCAAAGAAATTCTCCGTTACCATGGATGAATGGACCAGCATCGGTAACCGGAGATTCCTGAATATAAATCTGCATACTGCCTGCCAAAAAAGCATCAATCTTGGACTGGTAAGAATTTTCGAGCACCTCGAATTTTTTGGTCTATCATTTAAGCACGAAATTGTATCCGCTACTGGAGACAGAGCAAGTTCGGAAAAGGATCACCTGCTTTTTATTAATATGTCTTGCGCATGCCTTACATTTGGCTGTTACAAAAACTTTTTATAAAGCAAAATCAGGGACAGAAGAAAGCGTAGACGAAAGTTCAGGAGAGACTGATGATTTTGATGATGTTGATAATGGTTTAAGCATTAATGAAACTGAATTACGGAAAGAATCGTTCAAGGAAAACATAAATATTGTGAGACAAATTGTAATTTTTTTCAAAAATTCTGCTGTGCGTTCAGATTTGTTCAAGTCTAAATGCAGAGAAAAATTGCAGATAGAGCAACAACTCTCTCTGGATTGTAAAACCAGATGGAATTTAATGCTGAAAATGCTTGAAACATTTGTAAAATTGTATGAAGTTACAAAGGATGTACTCATTGAACTTGGATCTGAACGTCTTTTAACAAATTTAAAGCTGGAATTAATAAAATCGATAGTCTTGGCATTAAAACCAATTGAAGTGGCACTTAACTTTATGGGTAAAAAACAAGCCACTTTACAAACAGCATGTATTTCTATCAACTTTATGCGAGAGAAGTTAACTGAACAAGAATCTGAAATAAGTAGTTCTCTTTCTGAAAATATGATTTTTACATCAATAGCAGGATCAACAAAAACATCATAGATTTGATGAGTTCACTAAACAACTTAAATAAAACGCCATCTAAAGCTTCTATAGAACTAGCAGCTGCTTTGATGAAGCGTTCATCAAATGAAAAATCAATCATTGAATCAGAAACAACTACCTAAGTTGGTGCTTCTCTTGGAGAACAACTCAGTTAGAACAACTACTAGAATCTCCAACCAGAAAACTACCGGAAGATGACCGCTTTAAAAAATCAAGTCAAGAATTTACTTTGTTAAAAAGTAATGGTGAATTGACTGTAAATTTAAAGCAGTTACTTGAAGCTATTTACAGTGTAAAACCAACGTCGATTGATTCTGAGAGGGCATTTTCCGTGGCCAACAATTTTTGCACCAAAATGAGGTCGAAGCTATCAGATAAATCACTACATGCGCTGGTGTTTTTAAAATATTATTTCATTAATATAAATGCATAAATAAATGTATAAGTAAAGAAAAAGTTTCTTTTAAACTTCTAAAATATATTATTTTAATTATAAGTCCATTATAAGTATTTTGATAATGTAAGTATGTCAACTTCAAATGCTCGAAAGCCCGAAAAACAATCAAGCTCGAGCTCGAGCTTAACCGAGCTTCAGATCAACGAGCTTTACCAAGCCCTACTCGAGGGCTATCTGCCTAAGGATATTGATGCTTTCGTGGAAAGCTTTCTAAGGGAAACCGGTTCATATTACCGTTACATGTGAGAAAACACGTACAAAGATTATTAATGTCAGAATTAATATTTTTCTAAGAACACATTTTTGATTACCCTCATAGTCTTTCAGTTCGCTGAGAGATTTTTCCACGCAGATTCCTTCTAAATATTTGCCGCAAATAATTTCTATATGACCTTTTGTTCCCCAAAATCAAAACTTTTTACTTTGATGTTAGAAATTACCTTTCCGGTTTTAATTTATGCTACATACACAGCTATGTCTTATCATCCAAGAGGTTTAATAAGTGCTCCATTACGAAAAATCGCTTTACCTCCCACCAGTGATCGACAGCAAAAATCGCTGATATCCCTTGGTGTATTACAATGCCTTACGCTGGTGATCGTGAACACACTGGTGAGTGGTAACTTCAGTTTAGTTTTGCCAATTTCAGTTTAGTAAATCTAGATTCATTTTGATCTGCACATATATCCCCATGATAATTATGTATCAGTAAACATTGCTTGGTAGGTTTTGGAATCACGACTGAATAACTACTATCTTGCGTTCTTGGGTCAGTAAAATATAAGGCAATATGTGCTTTCAAATTCGCTACATGCCTTTGCTCCTGATTATCATCAATAATGCAAGAGAATAAATAGCAAACTCATTATTGGCAACATGCCTGCATTGCAAAAGTTTTGAAGTCGTGCAAATGAACCAATGTTATAAAAAATCATTGTATTTTGCAGACGACTTGGTATAAATAAATATTGAGTTAATATATAATGAAAATAGCTTTATTATGTGACACAATTATGTAGTATTAAACTGTTATATTGGTTCCATAGGTAAGAGTTCTAATTTTATGTTACCACTTCCGGTTTATCATATATAATCAGAATCTAATATGTTGTTTTCAATCCTGATTGTATACGCATTGTATATGTAT